TATCCTGACGTTTGAGGTACGTAAGAAAGCTTTACTGCAGGATGTCACATTAATAGAGCGAAAATTCCCGGTTTGACTGATATGATATTGTTGCAGCTGCTAAGAATAACATAAACACTAATAATTACTAGGCTTGCTGCGATCCATCATAAAATTCTCGTATACAGTTTTGAAAAAAATTACTGCATTGCAATTAATAAAAATCTGAGACGTGCCCGTTTCTAACATTTAGTCAAACAAAAGCCATTTAGTATCTGAGCCACACTACTATTGCATAGTTGAGTAAATCCCTCCCATTAAATACGGCTTTCAACCGAGATTGTTTACGACACTTCAAAACATCCCTCTTCTGCAACAAGGAAAAGAACGGCGGTAATCACTTGCATATTTAACACGACCTGTAAACGTCGGACAACTGTCGTAGAATAAAACCACTTTTCAGGCTTATTACCGCTAAAAAACGATGAGTGTTGCTAGCACTAGAATGAAGTTTAGCCTAAAACTAATGCCAAAAAAAAACGCAGCCCAGTTAATCGTAAAAATATAGAAAAATTTTATCTCCCACTAACTAAAAAAATACCTCTCATAACAAAAATAAAAGTACCAAAGATGCTCTATAATAAATACTAATTTTTATAAAAAATATTTGTGTCCAGCAAAAGATCAGAACGTCAGTCATTTCCAAAAAAAAAAAAAAAGATAAATTCTGATTAAAAAAGTATATGCAACAAAATTATAATTCCTCTTAATCTCTAATTTGAAGTATTCGAAAACTACAGCGACCTTCGTACTGAAATGTTCGTAACTGCATGAAAATAAAAAAAGAAATCCACACTAATTGCTTGGTGCGTCCCAAATGAAAACAACAAATTTAAATGCGCCTAAATAATAAGCTAATTCAAGCAATTCTTCGCCGGCTTGAAGAAGATGAAAATTAGAAGAATAAACGCAGGCAGAAAACTCAGGAATGCGAGTGATTAACATTATATACATAAGAATAGTGAAAAGAAACAAGCTTATATAACTACATTTAATTAGCCAGCAGAGGACCATTGGAACAAACATATATTGACTGATTTCAAGTTAATGAATAAAACATGTAAGAAACGACAGCGAGGTGACCTTAAACAAAACTGTTGTAATGCTCTTCATTCACTGACACAGAGGCAAAATAACTGTTACCCTAACCTTTCAAATCTCTTAATTAATAATAAAGAATTTTAAATTATTTTTTAAAAAATCACTCCACTAAACATCGGATCATTTGAAGACAAAACGAAAAAAGTGAAAAGAAAGCAATAGAAAGAAAAATTTGTGAAAACATTTAGCCGATCTCAACTTGTCGTTTTATTCAAAAATCATTTGTATCTTCTGATTATATCAACCACCGCATGCATTTACCATGTCAATCCGCTTTAATATAATACTAGAAAAATACATCAACACACAAGCGTAACATATTTAGAAAACTAGAAAACAGACCGTGTCATAGCATTAATAGCACACCACAGCACACGTTCTCCACCACCTCCTGCATTACAGTACGGATGGAAGAAACCAACAGTTCTCTTCTTCCTCAAAATCCTTTAAAAGACCACATCGAAGACCACGAATGAATTACTATGAAAACACCAAAAATAATTGAGTGCCACTTAAAGTTAAAAACCTGCAAAAAAAATGGGGCACCAAACAGTAGGCAACCCCTTCTCTTGTACTCCCTGAATAATTACTGAAGAAAAAAAACCCCCAAAATACACCGATCTTTTTGGCAAAAGGTTCAGTTTTCAAAACATGATCCGGCAGTACTGCTTATGTTACAAAGAACCAACATTTAAGTCAACCCAAAAAAAGCTAAAAAAGTGCAAAAGCTTGTTGTTCGATAAACTTTTAGAACACTACTTAAGTCTAATTCATGGAATTCCGTGAACCCTGCAGCATTTACAGGCTATAGCTTCATAACTACTGACATTAATTTATAGGTTTTGA